TTCCTCAACCCTGGCAACTTTAAGATGGGTGGACTTCAACTCCCAGAATTCCCCAGCCAGCCATGTTCTTTTTGTGAAGAAAAATACTGGAGGTGGAAATGTGGAAGCCGCCTGGAAGAGATGCAGTAATAAAATAAGTAATAAAATAAAATAACTAATTTAATAAAATAAGTAATATTAGATTAGCCTTCTCCAGTGTGGTCCTGCAAGATAAACAAGGATCATAGTTCTCTGAATTCTTGGCCAGCATGACAGCTGGGAGGTGGGAAGGAAATGAATACTTCCCTGAACTTTCTAGGTAAAGGATGCCAAAATTAGTATAAAGGATGAATGAGGAATTGGAGAGATTCTGTTTATTTTATTTTCATGCACAGAGCTCTCATATTACTTAGGGGAAAAGACCATTTTCACAAATGGAAGAGGGCACTTAGGATAATGGTACTCTTCTTGGGAAGTTGAATATTTCTGCACATGCTCAGATATTTTATGTGTCTCTTCTGATTAGGTTGGTTTCAGCTGATTTCCCTCAGGGACATTTTTCTCATGTCTTCATTGATGAGAGTGGCCATGCTATGGAACCAGAGAGCCTGATTGCCGTTTCAGGTGAGGAATGGCTTTTCTGCCGCTTTTGCATCCCTTTCTCTTCTACAGAGGAGTAGCGTGTTGATTTTCGGTGGGACGGAATGGAAATGCTTGGTTCACCCATCCGGCAGTGAGAACCTTGCCATTTATCTTTGCTCTGGTTCTTGTCAACTAACTCATACTTCCCCAGTCTGGCATTTTCCAGAGGTTTTGGGAATGCAGTTCCAGAATTTCCAGTAGTCTCAATGTTTTGGGAAGACAGAGGCCTGGGGAAGGCTCAGGAAGCCCATTTCTAGATTTCCTTGAAGATACAGAACATTCTGAATTGCAGTTGCGTGTGTATAAAAAGCCCTCCAGCGGCATGTCTTGTTAGCGTCTTCCTGGAGAGTTGCAGAGTTGATCTGTTCTAGGCTTAATACTTACTAGCTGTGATGTGGAAATGGTCATGGTCTTTGTGTTACCATGTTGAACAAACCACAAATGTGGAGTCCTTGGGGTTCTCAGAGAACCCCAAGGACTCCACAGTTCAACCCTGAGCTACACTTATTCACCTCTATTGAAACCACAAATGGAAACGGGGGGTTCTTACTGTAGTATATTTCTGCTGTAAGTTGAAAGGCTATTTGTTTGCTTAGTTCTTCCTTTTATTTCATTGTTTAACTTTTTACAAGCTCTAATACTTATTTATTACTTGTTTCCTCATTTTTAATTTTGCTGTATTTTAGGCCAAGTACGTTTTTTAACAGAAATGGTTTTTATATTTAAGTAAGCAACCTAGCAAACTTTGGGAAAAAATGAGAAGAAAATGCTAACAGAGCAAATAGTTTGGGCCCTTTCCTTCTCTCCTTTAGGTATTCTTGCCATGATGGACCCAGAGACAAATGTCAGTGGAGGTCAGCTAGTTTTGGCAGGGGATCCTCAGCAACTGGGACCAATTTTGAGGTCTCCTCTGGCTGTTAAACATGGCTTGGGTAAGTAAAAGGAAGTCATGCTCTTCTATAGTAGCAATTTATATGGTGAAGAAATGTAAAGAAAAAAATGTGAAGAGAAATATAAAGCCATTGAACTCCCACGTGGGCATGTTATAACCATAGTGCTGGTGAAGTTTGTTTCAAAGGATAGCTCTGTGGGGAATCTTATGTCTTCCATGAATCCCATTTCAGTTTGTCTTTAGACTTAATTCATGAGGTCTCTGGTGTGGTTGTTGCATTGCAAAGGATACAAGCAGTGCGGTGAATTGTTCTTAAGAAATTTTTAAAGCAATGATCCATTGATCTCTGAAATGTACA